AAAAACCATATTGATCTAGAAGTTTGTAAACGTATTTATTGAAGATGCCCATAGGATGGACTTCCTCAATGCACTGACACAATTTCACTCAGCCCTGTGAATATGAACTTCCTTGTGTCACCATTCTAACTAAGACTGCCTTCTGAATTACAACTCGATGTCTGAATTTCCCACAATGCAACATCTTCATTGCTTGCTGGAAGCAATGCATGATGGGCCATGTAGTCTTAAGAAATGGAGATTGCATCACATCAAGCAGCAAGTGAAAGAGACACAAAGCACACTGGGAATCCAGGAAGTCGGTGAAAGTGATGGGCAGGCGGAAGGCAGCACTTACTACAGAAAAGAGATTTTCTTCGGTAAGCTTTGATTGTATTATCAAAGCCAACTCTAGTATGTATTCCTATTACAATGCTGATGTTATAACAGGATGGTATATGCTGGGACTTTACATGGCCAAAGTATAGGATCACTTAAACCCTCTTGCCCCAAGCTTCTGTTCCTATAGGCCGTGGGTGGGCAAACTCCGGCCCTTTAGCTGCTGTGGAACTATAAATCCCATGAGGCATTGCAAGGCTCTGCCAGCCACAGCAATGACTCCCAGAGGCAGAGAAATGAGTTGCCTAGCTTAGCTAAAGGCCAACAAGGAGGCATGGGGCAGGCAAGCGTAGCCTTGGCTGGAGTCACAATGTGCATTTAATAAGCACCCTCAGTGTAGGGTTCCCGGCCCTCTCAGAGGAGAACAGGAGGCATGTGTTGGCTCCATAAAATTCCAGAATGTTGTCTCTAAAACCTGTTTACACTGTGTGGGATGGTTCAGGTGCTGTCTCCTCTGAGTTGACTTTCATGGGAAATGTTCTTGCCTGAACATAGTTCATCATTGTTTGTTTTAAGCTGCACCCAATGTGAGGAGCATGCTGAGTGTAACTCCAAGGGATAATATAAAATTCAGATTAATGAATGAAGACCTGCTCTCTAGGTGGGATGTCTCTGAAATCTAGAACATTCACTCTGCAGCCTCTGTGTGCCCAACACCAGCTGGTCTCCTCTGTAGGAGAGGAAAGCATTCTCCTCTTCCTAAAGACTTTATCAGGATCTTAGTTTTTTATTAACAAAATTGGGTTTGAGGCTTCAATATCTCCATCCAGCTTCTCCAAAGGTTTCATCCAACTTGTTCAAATGCCTGGTGGTCAGCAGGGTCAACAGATCTAGTGTCCCCATTGGAAGATTTCCCATCTATTCCTGTGCTAGAGACAACACAACTTTTGGAAATGTCCTTTCACTTTCAGTGATAACATTATATCCAAAACTAAAACAAGAGTTTTGGCTTCAGTTGCAGTTTGAGGGCTTTATGTATTAACCACTTCAAGACCGGGTGTCTAGACCCCCTTCCTGGCCAGGCCATTTTTCAGTATTCAGCGCTGCGGTACTTTGACTGACGTTTATTCCGTCATGCAACGCTGTACTGAAATGAATTTTATACCATTTTTTGGGGACAGATAGAGCTTTCTTTTGGTGGTATTTAATCACCACTGGGGGGTTTTATTTTTTACTGTAATTAGGAAAAATGACTGAAAATTGTGAAAAAAAATTTTTTTACATTATGTTAGGAATAATTTATTATTACCCAGTTTTTTGGTAAAATATAAAAGTTGGGGTCACGTCGGGTAAAAAGACACCAAACATGTCAAGATTAAAATTGTGCGCACCCGCAACATCGCAGAAAACTACCATACCCATGGCGTGTCTGAGAGGACGCCCGCTCAGATCTAGAGAGCTCCCGGCCGGCCATTTTTTAACTACGGCCGGCCCGGAGGTAGTTAAACAGCAGTAGCACCCCTAGATAGGAATTCCCTATATTCGTCAGCACTATCTACGGGCGCTACTGCCATGTGTGACGTATAGCTGGGCATCTGCATGGAGTATACCTGGGTATCTGCCTAGCTATACGCCAGGCGGAGGTTTTACACATCCCAGTAAGAGGTTTGGATGAGTTGGCTCTGGTCCACATGCTCCACCCGCAGCATTTCCCTATATACATACAAGACAGCAATAAAGTATTATAATCAACTAGGGTCGGACTAATCCAGCACGTTATTAATCTGATTTGCCCCACCCGAAATGGCTGAGTCAGGCAAGCATCGGCCATATTGAGTGGGGCAACTCAGATTAATAACGTGCTGGATTAGTCTGACCCTAGTTGATTATAATACTTTATTTCTGTCTTGTATGTATATAGGGAAATGCCGCGGATGGCGCACGTGCACCATAGCCAACTCATCCAAACCTCTTACTGGGAAGTCAACCGGACGTGACGTTATTGGAGATCTTGAGAAATTGGAGCTTTCGATTGAACACCGCCAACACATGAGAATGGACAAAAGAAATGTACAAGCAGCATATTTTTTTCACACAATGCACCACAACATGCGGTGGTCTGTTCCTGAGCGCTGTGGCGCGCTGTCACACATGTGTGTTGGAGCTTTGTTGCATTGGTGCATTGGAGTGCCATTCCAAATGAAGGCACTGCAATGTGTTAACACGTGTCACATCACCGCAACATTACACAATGGAAAACTACAATTCAGTGCTGAAGTCATTTAGAAGTACAGCCATTGATTGACAAATTCAACTAACATGAGACCAATAAGGAGAATCATTCTGTGAAATTCATAAAGTGTGTCACCGGCACGTGCGGAACTACCAGGGTCACAGTGGTCGCATGTGCAACCGGGCCCTGGCGTTCTGCCAG